GGCAGTGTTGAAGGGCAGGTTGGATGGGGCTTGGAGCAGCCTGGGCTGGTGGGAGGTGTCCCTGCCCATGCAGGGGGTGGGGACTGGATGATCTTGAAGGTCCCTTCCAACCCAAACCATTCTATGATTCTTTCAAGGCAGGTGGTGTTCTGCAAGTGCAGTGGGTGCAGAGCCTGCCACAGGAAATTACACTTTACCCCTGAAGGTTTTGAAGTGCCAAGAGAACTTAGAGGAACAGTGTTTTTTATTTATGCTCAGGCTGTATCTTCAGCTGGACTCACAGTGTCCTGTCTGCCTAAACCTGCCTTGCAATTTGAGTTGGATACTCTGTACTCTTTATGCTTTGAATTTTGTTGCACAGTTGCAGTTTAAAGAATGTAAATGCCATCGTGGAGTGTGGATTCTGTTGTGGTTGCAGTTTGTGTGAAAATTGCAGGGTAGCTTTCTTATTGGATAGAGTTGTTACTTTAATGTTCACTTTAATATTGGAAAGGTTAGAGATAGAATTCAGGAAATACTAGTCTAGCAAGACTGACACACTTCTGCATGTGCTGCTTGGTGTAATTCTAGCTAAACATGCAATAATACTTGTTCAGGTTGTATGGTGATATGAGGTGGAAAGCTAATAAAGTGTGACTGGGGAGGGAGCAGTTCAGAGTTTTTAATCTCCTCAGCTTTGTAACCAGGCTTGCCTTACAGCAAAGGATGTGGAGACGTGGGTCCAGGTAGCTGACTTGCCACGTGAGAGATGAAGCAGAGCTTGGGAAATGCTCTTCTAAAGAAATGCTGCCATGATGACTGTAAATACCTCAGACTGTTTCATGCTCTGTCCCAAAACTTGTGCTTGAGAAGCAGCTCCTTCAGTCCCTCTGTCTTGTGGTGTCCCCCCATCTTCTTCCTCAAGCTGTCCACATCTTCTGGACACCTCCTAGCCTGTCTTCTTTTCTCTATCCCTTCTTCCCTCTTGCCCTCACCAGTGGCTGGTTCCAACCAGGAATTCCTTCTGGAGGAGCATTTCTCACCACGCATCTTGCTTGTCATGCAGAAGTCACTATTGCTGCCAGGTGTGAGGCTGCTGACAGAGACATCACCCCCACCTGATGAATTGTTTGGAAGGTAGCTACAGGCCAAGGTATCTGTAAGCTGTCTAAGTAAGAAGGTTGTCCTCTAAAGGTATAATAAAATGGAGTGGCAGTGCTCTGTACTGTGCCTGGAGCATTGGGTACCAGTGTTGAGGAGCTCAGTGCTTTCCAACAGCAGCAGCTGCTCTGTGCACCAGAGCTGAAATGTTTTTCTCCTCTTTAGAGCCCTGACACCTTGCTGAGGTGAACCTTATCTCATTCACTGGGGCAAAGGCCGTTTCAGCTGGCAGGCTCGCCCAGAGGATACTAAGAAATGAAAATAGCACATGATTTTAGAGCACTGGGTCACAGTGTGCTGTGTCCAAACAGCAGTGCCAGCAGCAGGAGGCAGTCAGTAACTCCTCCTGGGACACTGGCTCCTTGCCATGCTGCCTCCTAACAGTGATGCTTCAGTGGCTTCTTCCTGGGCAACGTGCAGAGTTGCAGAATGGTTCTGCAAGACTGATGGCACCATCACTGAGCAGGGCAGTAGACAGACCTTGTTGGTGAGTCACTACAAAATTGAAGATGTCAGCATTAATTTACCGGGGCAAGGGGTAACAGACCCCTTAAATGCCTTTGTGCTGATTGTGCATCTGTGGAGTCTGTAAGTACCTGGTTTTGCACAACCAAGGTAGTTTTCCCTTGGAAATTTTCTATGGAATTCACTTTGGTGCCTGGTTCAAGTGCTCTGCAGCATAACAGCTCCTAACGTTGCTTTAACAGAGCAGGTGGAATGACAAGCTGGTGACCATTGCTGCATCTTAAGGGCCAATATGTTTCCACCTCCCAGGGAAAGAAACTTTCAGCAAAGCTTTTTCATTCTGTGAACTTTTCCAAGCAACACCTCTGCCTCCATGGCCTGGAGAAAAGGTTTGTTGCTGTGCACAAACGTGCCAGGGTCTGCAAAGCCAAGCAGTGCACAGCCTCCTGCCAGGGCTTGCTCACCAGCACGGGGTCATCAGCTGGAAAATAATGACCAGTTTAGTAATGATAGGCTGTAAATCACTGAGCTGGATGTTTGGCTAATTAGATTTCAGTTCTGTTTTTGAAGATGTCTGGCTCCAGTAGCTGATGCAAAGATCATTCTTTGTAAGTAGACGAGTCTTTATTAATGCAGGATTGTTGCTGGCAGTGGTGTTTGTTTTCCTCTGAAGTGTCATCATCTGGAGGTATATGATAACCTCAGGAACCTCTGGCCTATATACATTTGGTAACAATAATTTCCTGCATGTTTGGAAGGTGCCAGATGCAGTTTGCCAAAGCTTCCTGCCTGGATTAGCCTCTGTGGTCACCACAGAATTGCTCAAACTTTTGCTGAATAAATACAGATTTAATTATAAATGTTAATGACAGTTATTAATCTAAATGCTGTTGAGAGCTATAGCTGAGTTAAATCCCTTACATGAGTGGTATGAATTTGTTAGTATGTTAGAAAGCCACGATTCTGAAACCAGCTGCTGAAATGCTGCATAATGGATGGCACGGGTGGGGTGTTGGAGCATGGCCCTGAGGGCTGGTGCTTCAGGTGGTGTAAGGCTGGAAGGGTTTGGGAAGAACTGCAAGAAGAACATTGAGGGCTGAAATCTAGTGTAAGGAGAGGCTCTTCACATGCAAAACCAGACTGAGCAAAAGAGAGGTTAAGAAATCACTGGGTTTGCAAATTGGGAAAAGGTGCATTTTGTTGGCTGAGATGCACTTCAGGACATGGTTTAGTGGGCATGGTGGGGTTGGGTTGATGGTTGGTCTTAGAGGTCTTTTCCAACCTTAATGATTCTATGAATTCATGAGATAGGGTTGGCAGGTAAAGTTGCATGAAGAGCAATGAGAGTGCAGCCTGTGCAAATGAGCATCATCCACCTCTAGAAAACCTTCTAGTTCAAAACTGGGATGTTCTTCCATCAACCAAGTGATGGTTCTGTTGGGTTTTGCCGTGGGGATCTGGGAGTGGAAGGTGATTGCTGGTGTTCACTCCCTGCATGGCTTGTAGTGATCCCCCAGCCTTAAAATATGCACCAGCTGTAGCATGAAGTGACACCAGGGGTTGGGAGATTCCTGGAGTCAAAGGCTTCGTGCTGAGGAGGCAGAGCTGGGACAAAGCGAAACACGGTCCTAGTGTGGGACCAGGTGGATGGTGGAGTTGTTAATTAAAAAATTAAGGTAATTAGGGAGCAAGGGGGATTAATTGTTAAGGTCAGGGTGACTATTTTCAATTCAACCTTTTAATTAGAGATTAAAACCTAAAAGCTTCCATCCCTCAAACCTCAGAAGGGGCCCCATAGGAGCTGTTTGAATGACCCAGCTCAGGAGGGTTTGGCCTCATACCAGGAGCTGTGGTTGCCCCCAGATCCCTCTCCCATGGGCTGCAGCCCCTCCTGCTCCCTGCTGGGGGAGAGTGGAAGGATGGAAAGAACTCTGGGAAGTCCTCCAGTCTCAGCATGGAAGTGGGGTGGGACATGAGGTGTCCCTGCTGGGTTTTGTGCTTTCTTCTGCTATTTACACACTTTTTTCCCTTGAATAACCAAAATAAAATTAAGACTCTTTCAGTAATGGCTGTTGGTGTAGATACAAAAATAACATGACTGGTATTTCAAAATCATCAGACTGAAGTGGGTAGGAGATGGGAAAGTATTGCAGTCTTCATTTAATATCTTGTTTTCTTCTTCTTTTTTGTTTTTATTATGGAAACCTTGGATGGTTTGGGGTACATTTCAGTTTGTATTCCAAAGATTATCATTGACCTTAGTTAGGCTTGCAGTGAGCAGTCTCCAGTCTCTCAAAACCAGATTAGAATATAATAAAGGATAAGATATTTTTTTCTGTATTCTTGCTTGTGTTGTTCAATTTATCCTAAATTAGAAATGTGAATTTTTGATGGCAAACTTTACCCTACAGAGGGAAATCAAGTGTGGGTCTGCTCTCACTCCTTCCAAAACCAGCAGAACTGCAGCACTTTTAGGGGCTGCAGAGCCTCTGAAAGGGACCTGAGAGGGGTGTAGGATGAAATTATACCTTACTGTCACTTGTACCTGGAGGGGAAGCACCACAGCCATCAGCTGTGTGAAGAAGGGGGTGGTGGAGCCTTGGGGATGGCTTGGGGCAGGTGGCCCTTGCCCTCTGCTGCCCAGCATCCCTTCCCCTTGTGTCCTTGGAGCTGCATCCTTGCCCTAGGTTAGTTATTCATTTCTGTTGTGGAGGTTTTCTGTCCAAAGTGTATGTTTTCATCTAGGCTGAGCCAAGATTTTTTATTAAAAAACAGGGGAAATCCTGTTTATTGGAAGACTTTTTCATGTTCTTTCTCCCCACAGTGGAATCTCGTGTGTGACAACGACTGGAAGGGACCCCTGAGCACCTCCCTGTTCTTCGTGGGTGTCCTGGTCGGATCTTTTGCCTCAGGGCAGCTCTCAGACAAGTAAAGTATATACACCAGAGCTGCTGGCTCTTTGTTTAATGCTGCTTTGCAAGCAATTAACATATGGGAAACTTCCTAAAAGTGGATTTCTGCTGCCTTTGTTCTGTGGGTGTGGAGTAAATGTCCTGAAGTAGAACAGAAAGTTACCAAGATTGTTAGTGAGTGTTCATCTTTACTGTTTATTTTTGCAGCAAAATCACTTCTGGAGCAAACTGGTTTTATGCCAGAAAACAGGTGTAGTAGATAAGTTTAATCTGGAAAAATCAGATCAAGGGCATTCTTTTCTAATTACTTTGGACCATGTTCAGAGAGTTCCCTGAGATTTGTTTTCCTTTTTTTGAAGTAAAATTTGAAACTCCCTTTTTACAAACACCCATAGTTTCTCTTCCTAATCATCAAATACAACATCTAAGTCCAATGACCTGTGTTTGTGGAAGCTGCAAAGCATGAATGCTGTTCAGCTGTACTTCAGAGAAGCTGTATTTCCAGCCCCAGGGTATATTTGCTTCCTTATTTATCAGTATAAACATGAAAAATTGGAAGATACCACAAATTTTTGTGATGTTGATAGGCTGTGGGTGTTGGCCAGGCCTTAGGTACTGACTCTTTGACAATTTGATGAGTTTGGTTTAGTTTAATGTCTTTTATTTTAATACTTCATCAATAGAATTGCTAGGAGCCCTTCAATTGTTTTTGTGGCTTTTGTTCCAAGTGGAATGAAGATTGCAGCAAGGGATCACTGTCCTGATAGCAGCCTCTTAAACCTGAGTGCTACCTCTTTCAGCAGCTTTCCTTCTTTTTCCTTCTTTAATATGCCAACATGTGTCAGGAACTCTGTGCTCCATAGAGGAGGAGCACCTCATACTCTTGCATTTTAAATTATTTGCTCCTGCTTATTTGTCTCCCTGCTCATCCTCTTGATAGGAAAGGAGTAGTGTTCCAGCACATAATTATAGGCAATTGAGCTAGCAGCCCTTGGAATATTTTCTCTTGAGCAGTGGATTTTTTTTATGTGTTTAGAATAGTTGTGCCTGTGTCATATTTCCTGAACCTCTGCTTTTTGCAGATGTCTTGCATCTCCCCAGGTATGCTTACAAGTAATCTTATTTTTCTGTTCCTAAAGATTTCACTTATTCTGTTGTCTAATAATTTATTTATTTATTTTGTCTCTTAATTCTGTCCATGGAAGGTTTGGCAGGAAGAATGTGCTGTTTGCAACCCTGGCAATGCAGACTGGCTTCAGCTTTGTCCAGGTCTTCTCTACCAGCTGGGAGATGTTTTCAGTGTTCTTTGTGCTGGTTGGCATGGGACAAATCTCAAACTACGTGGCAGCATTTGTTCTTGGTAAGCAGGTCCTGCTGGGCACAGGATGTGTTCTTGAGGCTCCTGCTTCTCCTGCTCCCTCTCAGGACTGGCTCAGGGCTGTTATGTTTTGCCAAGCACCACTGGTAAGAGTTTGTCCTCACCACACATGGATAACTCATGTTCTCCTTGGAAGTTTCCACTTGATAGAGGTGCAATCTGAATTGCACAGGTCAGGAACCTAATTTTGGCATCTCTGAATTACCCTTTAAAGAAGCTGGTCTCTTGCCATAAGCTCAAGAGGACCCCATGGAGATCAAGCTGAGGTTCAATGTTATGAATGTTTTGTTAGTATGCCAGGTGGTTTTAGCTCCTCAAGTGAAAAATGAGGTTCTAAGAACACAGAACTAAAGAAGTTTTAGCTACTTAGAGCTACAAAACTACTTTTTTTAGCCTGGTCCTTTTCCTTTTGTATTTCCTGGGGTCAATGCAGGATCCCTGCAGGAAGCAGCTCAGCCTCTACCCTGGGATGGCAGAACATGCTGTACACTGGGGCTACCCCCTGTAGTGTGTTTCAAAACCAATCATTAGAGGTATTTTTGGAAAGTCATTGAGTTGCTTTTAAGTTTATATACTGACCTTCAGTCTCTTGTTTTGAACAGGCACAGAAATCCTTGGCAAATCAGTCCGTGTGCTGTTCTGCACCCTGGGAGTTTGCATCTTCTATGCCTTGGGCTACATGTTGCTGCCACTCTTTGCTTACTTCATCAGGGACTGGAGGATGCTGCTGCTGGCACTCACCCTGCCTGGGCTGCTCTGCATCCCTCTCTGGTGGTGAGTAGAGCTTCTGCAAGGCTTCAGAAGGTCCTGTCTGCAGGGTTTTAAAGTTCAGACTCCAGCCTGTACTGAAATTCAGGAATGGGCAGGTGAAGGATGGATGTTGTGTTCTTTACTCTTTCCAGATGTTTAGCTGCAAGTCCATAGTTTGGGGAGGATCTGCATGAAAGGCATTTTCCCAAAACTCACCTTGTTTGGAAAAGATCTCATAGATCACCAAGTCCAACCATCAACCTAACACTGACAAGTTCTTAACTAAACCATATCCCTATGTACTACATCTGTACAACTCTTAAACCCCTCCAGGGATGGTGACTCCACCACTGCCCTGGGCAACCTGTTCCAATGCCTGGTAACCCTTTCAGGGAAGAAATTTTTCTTAACATCCAATCCAAACCTCCCCAGGTGCAACTTGAGGCCATTTTCTCATGTCCTTGTAACCTCGTTGAACCACCCCATCCCCACCTCTTTACAACCTGTAAAGACAAACCTGTAGTTTCTATAAAACCGAGTGATGCACATGAGTAAACTTCCTTCTGCACCATCTGAAATCCATGAGCCTTTAAGAGACCTGAACTAGAGGCAGAAGGAGAAACCAGTTGGTTTGGGAAGCTGGGCAGCGCTGGGGTGACATAAATATGAGAAGCTACAAAACAGTACTTGCACTTCTGTGAGGTTGCTGTGTTTTCTTCCACAGTTAAGGAAATAAGTACTTTTAGGTGGCATGTGAAGTTTAGCTAGTCCACATGGTGGTGGTGTTTCTCCACCTACACAAGCATTGGTTTGTTATTCCTTCCAGTTCTTTCCTTACAAAGCTCAGTGACTCAGGGGTTTTCTGCTGTCTGACTTGGCTTTATATGAGCATTTTTAGAGTTATTCAATATACATGTGTTATTCTCTAAGGCTGTGCCTCTTAATTTACAGCGTGCAGCTTGTGTATTCACATCTGAATTTCTTTAGTTAAGCTGTTTTCCCATACTTTGAAGGTTTTGGTTGCTCTTTTTTTCTGAGTCATTGCATATTTCCTTAGTATTTCTAAAATCAACAAATGCATTTCAGTCTGTTCTTGTCCAGCACGCCAGTCTGCTCTTGTAAATCTGATTTCTGTTGTCATTGCTCTAATGTCTGCAAGATGTGGCAAGTTTTGAGCTCTCTCTGCCTGGAGCAATGAGTGTTGGTGCCTGCAGCAGGGCTTTCTGTGGACACTCATTGCTCTGAACCCCTTTTGCAGGGTCATTCCGGAATCTCCACGGTGGCTGATCTCCCAGGGGAGGTTCCAGGAGGCTGAAGACATCATCCGAAAGGCTGCAAAAACCAATGGCATCACAGCCCCAGATGTCATCCTTGACCCCAGTGAGGTAAGATTCCTGCAGCAGCCCAGTTTGCTGGACCTGTTAATGACCACGTGAAGGGGTTAATTTCCAGCCATATGAATGGAGTTATCTCTGCAATGTATTATGTACTTCTCAAGTGTGTAAAGAGCCATTCTTTTCCTGAAAAGGAAAATACTCT